CAGGAAACGCTGGGAGAAGCCGAACCTGGGGGTTTAGGGTTTCGGGTTTCGGGTTTCGGGTTTAGGGTTTAGGGCTTCGGGCTTCGGGTTTCGGGTTTAGGGTTTCGGGTTTAGGGTTTCGGGTTTAAAAGTTTAGGGTTTCGGGTTTCGGGTTTAGGGCTTAGGGCTTCGGGCTTCGGGTTTCGGGTTTAGGGTTTCGGGTTTAGGGTTTCGTGTTTAAAAGTTTAGGGTTTCGGGTTTAGGGTTTCGGGTTTAGGGTTTCGGGTTTAGGGTTTCGAGTTTGGGGTTTCGGGCTTTTGTGTTTTCGGGTTTAGGGTTTAGGGTTTCGGGCTTTTGTGTCTTACGGTTTAGGGTTTAGGGTTTAGGGTTTCTGGCTTTTGTGTTTCCGGGTTTCGGGTTTTTGTGTTTTAGGGTTTAGGGTTTAGGGCTTTTGTGTGCTTAGGGCTTAGGGTATTCACCAACTACATCTACTTGCCATTGCTCCCGCCCTAAAGCATCTCCAACTCCAAACTAAGCCCTAGAACACAAATCCAAACCCTAAACCCAAAATCCCAAAACTGGCCTGCAAACCGCTTTGAAGCCCTAAGAACCCGAAGCCGCACACATGAATGCCTAATTTCTCCCAAAATCCTAAGCCCTGAAACCCTGTATCCCCAAAAATCCTACCCCATCCTACACCCCTACATCCTAGAGTCTAAAGCCCCCCATGAGCCCCCAAAAGTCTGAATCCCTAAACTCCAAACTCTACACCCTCCGTCCTGACATCTTTAGGGTCTTAAACCCCCAAACCCGCAGCCTGAGGCCCGGACCCAATGAACCCAGACACCCCTGCAATTCCGCGCTGAAGGGTTGCAGAAGGGCTGGGTTGTGAGGCTTAGGATTTAGGGTTTAGGCATAACATGGTATGAGCTATTTAGGGCAAAGCCCTGCAAGACGGGAAAACGAGTGAAACCTACCCCTACCTACAGCCATTACCGAAACAAAAGGCAGAGACAAGAACCCTCCCGCCCGTCCTGCACAGAGAGCCACCAGGGCCACGTTGTTCTCGGCGCCGCTCGCGTCACAGAGGCGGGCGTAGGTGGGCAGAGCCATTGGGATGGTAACGCACCTGAGACACTTTGGAAGTCTTCGGAGTTGAAGGTTCAGGGTTTAGGCTTTTAGGGTTTAGGGTTTAGGGTTGAAGGTGTGTGATTTTTCGGAGTTTAGGTGTTTTGACCAAAGTGTCTTGGGGCTTTGGTCTAGGATACCATGGACACTTGCATTCCTGCTCCCTGCTAAGGCCTGAATCTCGAAGCCCTAAGCCACAAAAGCCCAAAGTCCTAAGCCTCAAACCCTAAACACAAACCGTAAACCCTAAACCCTAAACCTTAAACCCTGAACCCCTAAACCCTAAACCCTAAAAGCCTAAACCCTGAACCCCTAAACCCTAAAGCCTAAACCCTAAAGCCGACAAACCGAAAAGGGGCGCCTCATCGTAGCAGAAAGCGTGACCTCGGGGGAAACACCCAGGAGTGGTCCGGCGATCACGGTGCCCAGGACGTTGCACAGGGACACCTCGAGATTACGGGTTTAGGGGTTGAGCTATTTAGGGTTTAAGGTTTAGGGATTTAGGAGTTTAGGGTTTAGGGTTTAGGGGTTTAGAGGTTTAGAGGTTTAGGGGTTTAGGGGCTTAGGGTTTAGGAGTTAGAGTTTAAGGCTTTAGGGTTGTAGGGTTTGGAGTTTCGGTTTTTCGGGCCTCCGACATTGCAGGCGGGCTTTTTCAAGGGACTTCAATAGTTGCTTGTCTAGAACCTACGAAGGACTATGCAAACCCATACCAAGAACTCGCTCCACACCGCCCGAAACCCTACACCCTAAACCCTAAACCCTTAGCCCTAAACCCTGAGCCCTCAAAAAGCCATCATCTTGGACTCCCACGGCACCGCAGGTCAGGAACAGGACCCGGCTGAGTGCCGCGATGCGAGAACCTGGACGTGGGATGCGGACCCCAGGTGGCGTTGAGTCTATTGAGGGTTTAGGGTTTAGGCCTATAAAATTTGTAAACGGGTTTTGTAAGGTGCTATGAGGTTGTGGTTGAAAGTGTTTACAGGGTCCAAGCTTCCAAACAAGGGGGGCCTCTGTCCTTGGAATCGGGACTATCACGGGACGGTCTTTGATTTTGTTGTTGGCGGTGGGCTGCTACTACCTCTTTCGCGACTTCTGGGAGTATGGTTGCTGCTGCTAAGATGTGCTCCTGGCACTACCGTTCTCCATCTTTTTGATATAGCAGGTCCTCGTTTCCGAGCAATGTCAGGACACTAATCCCAGAATTTAGAGATGATTTTTTTTAAAGTGCACTGACCCTTTCACTCCGCGGCAGCAAAGGTAGGAGGCCTGCCAATGGTTGGCATGCTTTAGGGATGTTTGGGGTGTAGGGTTTAGGGTTTAGGGTATCGGGCGCAAGAGAAGGGGAGAGCTTGGTGGGGTGTGCGTGCCTGAACAACGCCACGGGCTGCCGAAACGAAGCACTGGGGGTATCAAATACCACGGCTCCCTAGACTCTACAGTCCGAACCTTTTGGGGTTTGAGGTTTAAGGTTGTGAACCCCGGAGAACCGTCTGCACCCCGACCTGAATGCAAAAGAACACCTGAAAACCTGCATGGGACAACTAAACATGATGGCTAAGACCCCTCCCGGAAACCCAAGCCCCAAAAGCTCCAATCCCTAGGCCGAATACAGGCTCCTAATTCCTAGTTGCTTTAGGGGTTTAGGGTTTAGAGCTTAAGGCTCAGGAATCGGTTTGTCCTCTAGCAGGGTTTTGGGGTTTAGGATGCCAGTTCCGGGATCTTGGCTGCTCGAAAACCAGATGAAACCGTCGTAACACAAATAACAGCCAGAAGAAGAAACGGCGGTTTAGGGTTTAGGGCTTTGGGTTTAGAAGACGATGATGAACAAAGGAACCATGAGAGCAAGAATATCGTCATCCTCACGTGCGCTGTAATGTTACGGGTTCCGGGGTTCCCCATAGTGCCCTTTTCCCAAAGTGCCACGTACCACTCAACAGCAAGAAGGAGGTTATATGACGTGACCAAACACAGACCAGCAAGATAAAGAGAAAATAATTCATTTATCACCAAACCAAGGCACGATATTGGAACATCTGCACGCCTGTGGACACCAGCGCGGGGCCCAAGCCTCGGAAACCCGCTGCTCTTGAAGCTTCTGTCTGTTGGGTTTTATTGGGGCTTGGGGACAAGGTAAACCCTAACCCTAATCCCTAAACCCCGAAACCGGTTTAGAGAAAAGGGACCACGATTGAATATGAGGTTCAGGTTGAGGATGGCTGGTGAGGGTCGACGGCAGGCTTCATCGCTTCATCGGGTTTCACAAGGTCTTATAAGGCTATAGAAGGTTTAGGGTTTTGGGTTTAGGGCTTAAGGTTTAGGGTTTAGGGCTTTCTAGGGGGATGATAACTAAGCCTGCATGGAGTTGTAATGGTCAACCTCGAGATTTTGCAGAAATTCGCTCTGTGGGATCATGGCCCCGAGTGGCAGGCAAGCTAATCTAATCACCTCGGGACACACGAACACGAAGCAGCTGCACTGCATAGCTGCAAGACTTTTAACCCTGTAGACGCTGCGAGATGGAAGCATCAAGCCGTCAACGCCAAAGCCATGAAAACCAACAACCCACGCCAACCCTGGAACCCTAAACTGGAGAAGCCTACACCCACACCCACCTAAACAAGGCCGCGACATCCCCGACACCTCCGGGATCTTTGTAAAGGGCGCGTGGTTGTCCCCCCCTACATTTGTGTCATCTTCCCCTCTGCCGAGGGAGTACGGAAGAGAATCGCAATTTCCATGGCTCTACGTAGGTGTTTTTTCAGCAAGCTTTTGTGTCCAACCAAGCTTTTGTTAACATGTGTAATATACTCTTATATTGCACGATCCACGATGGTCTATGCCTCTATTTCAAAGTTTCTAATGCAGCATAAGACAGTACAACAAAATGTTTCCAAGAGTATATTAGCAGACGAACATATTCAACACAGCATGATATAGCTTCATGGGCTTATGCTTGATAACCATATTATATATTTTTTAGTTGATAATAAAACTTCACACATGTCATTTGTATAGTATAGCATGGTATAGTAGAGTAGAATATAGTAAAGTGTAACAGCTTAGTGTAGTATATAATGTAGTACACCGTATGGTATACAGTCTAGTGTATAGCATAGTATATAGTAAACTACAGAGCATAGTGTTTGACATTGTATGTATTATAATCAAATTATAGTGTTTCCTCGAGCTCGTAGTACAGCCTTCAGTAGAGCATACAGTACAGTCGATCGTCGAGTCTATGGTCTATAGTATAGTCTGCAATATAGTCTGAAGGTAGTCTATGGTCCATAGTATAGTCTGCAATATAGTCTGTAGTATAGACTATACCCTGTAGCATAGTCTGCAGTAGATTACACTATGGTTTCGTGTATGGTAGGAAGTATACAGAATATACATGGTATATAGTATGGCACAGTTGTATGTATTTGCAAAATCTTCAGCCACAGTAGGATAGGGGAGAATAGCATATCTCGAACAATGTGTAAGAAAAAGCAAAATAGTTCAACATGATATAATGAAATATATCATGACTCAAGGATCCTACTGGCTTTCGGCACTTTGACTCTTGACGACTTGGTGAACCGAACCGGGCATCAATGTCTTGTGCTATCTGTTCTCACACTTGTAACGCCAGAGGCCTGACCCTTTCATACAGATCGCTCCATGAAACAACAGTTGTGTTACGTAATGTTTGACCTACAGCAGGGCATGAGCAGGCGTGCGATTCGAAACACAACGTATGTTTCGAAACACGCGCCTGCCAGGGCCCCCACCCATTAACCCATTAACCCAATCATATTGGCCGAACGAACTTGGGAGTAGTCTGTAGCCCCAACCCATTAACCCATTAACCCGATGATTTGCCCAAGTGGGGATGGACCCCACTCCCAAGTTCCTTTGGCCAGAATGATTGGGTTAATGGGTTGGGGTCCTCCCAAGCCCATTTGGCCAGAATGATTGGGTTAATGGCTTCATGGGTTCATGGGTTGGGGCACCCGGGGTGTTTCGAAACAGAGACATGGCTTCGAAAAGACCAGGAGACGCGCAACGTACAAGTACACTACGACACCCAAAACACACGAATATGCAAAAAAACGCAGGGAGGGTGATAACTACCTACCCATCTTTATGACTGTCTCCTACAACCGAGCCCAGTACAATGCCCCAAAAAGTAGGAGCAGAGAAACCATTAGGGGTTTAAGGGCCCAGCAACGGGCTTGTACGGAGATTTTCGACCTGCTGAGGTTCCGAAGCCTAAACTCTAAACCTTAGGATTTAGGGTTTAGGGTTTAGGGTTTAGGATGCTAGGGATTGGTTTAGGGTTTTTCGGTCTCTCGGGTTGAGGTTCGGGGTTGCTCTGCCCCTAAACCCTAAACCCTAGGCTGCCCGAGGAGTGCTTGGGACGTAGACGGCTGCTACCGACGGATGCTGCAAGAGACCGGAAGAACTCCAATCGCCCGAGTTTGGGGGTTTCTAGGGCTTTAAGTTGGGGGTTGAGGGTCTAGGGTTTAGGGTTTTGAGGGAAGACGGGGGGATTCATAGTCAAACCTATGATAGGACGAATCCTGAGCACAGGACCGCCAAATCAGCGATATTAGCGTCACCCTAAACTCTAAACCCTAAAC